TGCGTTACGACATTAATTTATACGTATATGTTATATTTCACCTCTATATCCCAAATAGACTTGATATCTTTTATTCTGGGCTACAAGAGGACCTCAGAGAGCTCCTTGCCGCATAGGGCTTGATTCTAAGCCACTATGGACAATCTCCACAAAAGGAATTTAGGCTCCTAACTTGCGTTGATTTCAGCGGAAGTCAGGAACCTAAATACCTTTGAAGCCTCAACCTCTGTTTCTACACTTGGGGCAATGATAGCTGCTTTAAGCCACCTTTGTGTTCCCCATAGTCTGAGGCCATGCAGAGCCCCTCCTGGCGTAACTTACAGCAGCATTGGGGCTGCCCAGACTTATGCTCTGCTCCTCATGGGTCGCTCTGTCTCTTGAGAAGCACAGCTGTAGAGGAGTGTGATCCACCCCCTACGCCAGCATCTGGGAGCAGGGCCCTCTCGCTGCCTCCACACCAGCTGGGGAGGCTCCCAGTGCCGGGGGGAGTCCTTAAAAGGCCCCTTTTGTGCCCATATTAAGGCTACTTTGTGCTGCCAGAGCGGCCTTAGCATTGCTGAGAACTGGGCGCAACTCATCTGCCCAGTGGTTGGGCTACATGGTGATTTGGGTCCAAATATAGGGTCACATCCTCAGCTGGTGTAAACCAAAATTCAGTGTGGTGCAAATCGGTCAGTGGAGGGACACTGATTTACAGCAGGATCTACCCTCCCCCCTTATTTTTTAAGGGGACAAGAGAAATGGGCGAAGGGTCTATCCTCCCACGAGTTTCTCTGAATTCTTTGCATTGAATTGAGCTCTGGTGAATGGGGCAGCCCAGAAAAATGGAGCCTTCTCTTTCCCCTATACCCCTCATCTTTCCCCTGCAGGGCTCGCCTCGGAGGGCACGGTGCACTCTTCACGACCCATTCAACCCCTGGTCTCTCCAGGAGCCTGCCAGCCAGGCGGTTACTTTTGCAATGCAGACACCTCTCCGCTGGGAACTGGGCTGAGACCCACCTGCTCATTTCCTATGGTCCCACCAGTTCAGGGTGACTTTTACCAGCAGGAAATGAACTGAAACCAGCGACCTAGAACTGAAGGGCTCCTGGTCCCATCACAAGTCTGTTAACGCTCTCCAGCCCTTTCCAGTTTCTTTAAGTTCTAGCCAAACACGGGCATCAGAACCGGACAAAACTCAACTGATTCCTCCCTGCTCAGATGAAAATAAGCAACCACTTTCGCTCCACGGGCCAGATCCTCAGCTGGGGGTAAATCAGCGCAGCTCCCTCAGCTTCAGCACGACACTGATTTATCCCAGCTGAGGATCTGGCCCGATATGCAAGAAGGCAAACAAAGGAGAGGATTTACACTGGGACCCCCTTACACCAATCTGGCGGCCCGAAAACAGCCTTCGAGGAGCGTAAATGTAATTTATGACCGCTTGAAGTCCCCTTTCCGCCACTAAGGCACCTCCAGGTAAATGTGAACCAGGGCCAATGTTTGCATTACATAAGCAGCGATCTCTAGGGCTAGATCTCATTAAAGAACCCCGTTTGTTGATTGCATAATGTTTTGATTGGCTTAAAAAAAAACAGATGAGGCATGAAGATAAAGGGATTGAGATCTGAGGGTTTAATGATTAATTGGGTAATTGCTTTGTTTGAGGTCACTTGAGTTTTATCTGTGTCAACCGGCAGGGGTAAGAAGCCAGAGTCTCATTTACGCTTGGGCCCCTTTACGCCTCTCTGGCGATGTAAAAGGGCCTCCCGCGTTTGAGAGTATCTGGAGCAATGTGACTAAATCTGGGAACACATATTTCCTCAACTGGCCAGGTCAAAATGAAATTCTGCCCTGAGCAGCATGTGGGGTGAACTCAGCTTTAGTTTAACAGCTGCCAGGTAGTTTGTGGAAAAGAGTCTTTAACTCAGGGGTGAGCAAACTATGGCCCACGGGCCACATCCAGCCCTCCAGACGTTTTAATCTGGCCCTTGAGCTCCAGCTGGGGAGTGGGGTCAGGGTCTTGCTCCACTTTGCACGGATCCTGGAAGCAGCGGCACGTCCCCCCTCCGGCTCCTACGCGTAGGGGCAACCAGGGGGCTCCACATGCTGCCCCCACTCCACGTGCCGCCCCCGCAGCGCCCATTGGCTGGGAACTGCAGCCAATGGGAGCTGCGGGGGCGGTGCCTGTGGACAGGGCAGTGCGCAGAGCCACCTGGCTCCTCCTCCATGTAGGGGGAACATGCCGCTGTTTCTAGGCGATTGCCCCAACCATTGGGCCATCCTAAGACATACGCAGGCTAAGGAAAAGTATACAAACACCCAAGCAGAGTGACTAATGGGCAGGCAGCAGACATGTTCATTCCACTTCCTTTTGAGAGACAGATTTCGATCTCTTACATTGCAGAAAACCAGAGTAACTCCCGTTAACTTCAGGGGAATGACACCGGTGTAACGGAGATCAGAATCTGACTCAGGGCCTTTAAAATTAACAAAATTTATCCACGTCACTTTCCAAAAGGCTGTTTTAGTTTATTCAGCGTCAGTTCACTTCTCCTCCTCTGCTTTCTCAAGTCTTGGATTTCGCACTGTCTCTGTATGTTACAAACACCTCTCAGCAAATGCAGATGCAGAGAAAAAAAAATGAAATCACACTCTCTGTTCCCCACACCCACTGCCTGCCCATAGAGATGTGTGAAAGAATTTATAAACAGTACAAGCTTTATTAGGAGCATAGAATTTATAAACAGTACACGCTGACGCAGCTTCTCTGCCCCCAGCTGGGAGACAAAACTTTCTCTCCTTTTCAGCTAACTGACAACCTGGAATGGGGCAAAAATTTTCGGTTCAAACTTTTTTTCGGTGAAAATTGCTGATTCTATGACACCGAAATGTTTTGTGAATTCACATCGAATTCACCAAATCATTTGTTTTGAATAAAAAACAAACAATATTCAGAAAAGATCAAAACGTTTTGTTTTGACGACATTTTTGAAAATGAGTGATTTTTTTGGTTTGAGATCACTTTCTGTTGAGAAATTTTGTTCAAATTCGCTACTCAAAAGCAAAACTTTTTTAAACCAGTTTTTTTTTTTATAAAAAAATTTTTAATTTCTCTAAAATTTCAAAATTTTTTTTTTTAGTTTAATCCATTTTGGGGGGTGGAGAGGGATTTTTCAGAATTGCCAGCAAATCAAAACATTCATTTTTCACCTAGCACTGTTCTACAGTCCAATCCATCTAATCTCATATCTACCCAGATCCATTGAATCTAGAGAAAAAAGTACTTTACAATTGAGTTAAGGTTGAGAGTATGTGTCAGTAATTTAAAAGCTAAAAGGCATTTCAGATATGTTATAAGTATCCCAAAACCACACACTGTAAATCCAGGAAATTCAGAGTTAAAGATACATTTAAAAGAAATTTAGATTTTATAGTAAGAAATGTACAATAAAGTTATCCAAACAACCTTAACTCTGCCCTGCCGTGACATCATGCAATAAACATATGATTACAATTAAGACTTTTTAAATAATTTTGGTTCTAAATTAGATACAACTGATTTTTAAATACACATTTACTTTTTCCTATATTTTGTTCCCTCGTAACATCATTATGGAACGATGTTAAGACTGAGTGCCCTAACTGTGCATGTCAAGCAACCTACCAATGAGAACTCTTGACACAACTGACCGGTCCCATACTGGTGGATCATTACAACCAATAGAGTTGCTGCATGCAAATTAGCTTTTGAGGACGTGTGGTGATTGGTTGAACTACCTTATCTGACAATGGAACCTCCTTAAGAGTTACCTGATCTGAGCCTGCCCGTAGTCTGTCTAGTCATAAAAATTCGATACAACAATTTACAAACTAATTTATCCAATTCACCCAGTTAATATACTCAAGTGCCTGTGTTATTCTGTTGTTAACAACATTTGGGCCAAAAAACAGAACTAACAGATACTACATTTCTTCCAGGATCTAGATTTGGGTCAATTTACACTAATAAACTAACAAATGTATTTATTTGTAAATTCTCAGAAAACTAATTTTGTGCTCAAAGAGTAAGTGCTGTAAATTTGGGGACGGTACGGTTTATTTTTCATATAAAATAAAAAGGTTGAAAGTTCCCTTTAAGGGCAATAAAACAATTCAGTTTTGATTGTGGAGTCATGATCGACACCTCCATAATAATAGAAACCAATTTATCACCTGTGTCTAATCTAATCCATCTAATCTATAATCTAATCCATCTGGTACATAAAGTTATGCATCTAATGAAAAGCACGAGATAACAATATAACCACCCGTTTCTTATATAATGCTTTTCACCAGTAGGTCTTAAATTGCTTCACAATCTCTAATGGATTGATCTTCACAGCACTCCTGTGAGGTAGGTACTGTATTATTAATCTAACCCAGTCCATCCGTTCCATAACCTAATCGATCCAATCTAATCTCCAGTCTAACGGAATCCATTTCTCCCTAGCCCTATTCCAGTGCTAGGACTTGCATTTAAATTGCCACCCGCATGCAACAGTTGTGCTGAACTCATTTAATTTGTGTCTGTTTCCCAAATTCGAATTATATAAATTCGGATTAATCCCGTAGTGTAGACATACCCTCTGAATCATAACAGGCTGACTCAGCTGCTGTCATGATGATGTGACGCAATGGGCCAGATCCTCAGCGGGTGTAAAGCGGTTTAGCTCCATTGACCGCCATGGAGTTACAACTGATTTACCTCAACCAGGGATTTGGCCCTAGGAATCCATAGCTGGTGCCTCAGTCACTGAGGCATTGGCAAAGCTGGCTCTCCACATTCCTGTGTTCCTGCCTAAACACAGTTGCTTGCAAGCATGCAGCAATGGAGACATGAGCAAATGTTTTCTCATCCTCTGGAGCTGCGTTGTGTTTCAGTGGGTGGGACCCAGCTGGCAACTCATTGACTGGTGGGCGGGGCTTTCTACAAGTAATTAACAAAAAAGTCTTGGCACAAGGGCCCCAGCTTGCTAACTTCCACCTGCGGCTGGTTGGAAGATCAGTTTCATTTTCATCTCTCTCCCCGCTTCTTTCTCCTCCACCTCAGCAGCATGTCTGGCCATGCAACCAACCTCCGGCTCAAGCTCCCGGCAATATGCTTCCTCCTCCAGCTCTTCACCATCATCCTCTTCGCTGTTTTCGTCCGCTACGATGGAGAGACCAGCGCCAGGCTCTGGCACCAGGAACTGAGCCACCACAACAAAAGCAACCGGGACAACGATTTTTACTTTCGCTACCCGAGTGAGTACAGCCCGTCCATGCACTCAGCTCCTGCTTCATCAGCCTAGGTCCCCACCTACATCACCCATCACCACGGTCAGGAGGGGAACCCAAGCGTTTACGTGCCCCATATGTTCCATGGCCTCTCTCTGTGACAGAGGACGCTCATCTCAAGTGTGTGATACTTATGGTCTCTTAAACCCCAGATGAGCCCCCATTTATATGACAGCCACCTTCTTGGCTGACCTCTGGGATTGAATCAGAGACCTCCAGTCCTAAACCATGAGCTTCTACAGCTGGGTGTGGTATCAGACTCACAGCCTATCTATCTTGGGGGGGGTATAAAACTTCAGCCCATCCCCGTAGTATCGGAGCACTTTCCATGTAAAATCAACAGCAACAGCAGGGTCCTTTGTGGCTCAGGTACCGCGGGAAATGAGTACATTACAGGCCCAGAGGATCTGGGCTACGCTGACTTTCAGGGGGGATTTAAGAACTTAGACGTGCCCCAAGCTGGTGCCCGCTGTTGGTTTTTCTTCTCGGTGCAGAAAGATTGCGCAGAGCATGGAAGAAGCTGGCGCGGCCAGTGCCGGGCGCGTGGGTTGAAAAGCACTCAGTGTATTATCCTCTCGAGCGTGACGCTCACGGGAGTTGGTGGGCAGCACAGCTGCAAGGCAAACGCTGATCCCTTCCCGGGGCCTTGCAATTCAGAGCTGGCCTCCGGGAAGGGTGCGTCTGTGTGCCAGGACATCCCTTGCAGAGCAGAGGAGGTTGGAGGCTCATTGGGAACCTAAAGCCTGAAAGAGGCGATTGACTTCTGGGGGAGCAGCGGGTGCCCAGCCCCTTGCACCAGGCCGTGCACTGACATTGCTAAGCAGCTGCTCCGTGGGGGCCTGCACTTCAACAGCAAATGGTTGTCAGGGCTGGTGGATGAAGAGTCAAGGGGCTGGAAGGGAGGTGTCAGGCTGCTCAGGGATTCATTCATTCCTCGGTTCAGATCTGTTCTTATTGTGGCAATCAGAGCCAGCTTCAATGCCGGGGGTTGCGGGGAACCACACACAGGCAATTCGCAGCACCACAGGGGAAGTTCGCTCCACTTGGCCTCATCAAAGAATAAATTGTGGTTCAGGCAGTGGCCTGGCTTGCTAGAGAACAGAGTTCAAACCCCTGCTCTGCTACAAGATCCCGTGGGCAAATTGCCTATGCTGCAGTCGCAGGGTGACGGCAGAGCGTAAGCGGGTGCCGACCTCAGCCAGCTTGGGTACCAATAGCAGTGACACCGTGGCAGCATGGGCTGGCGGCCTGAGTTAGTTTCTGGGGGATTGCACTGCTATCGGTACCCATGCTAGGTAGATGAATGCTCACACCTCCGCCTGCAGTGTAGACATACCCCAAGGCAGAGAGAGACTGAGGCTCTGTCCACCTGGTGATAAAAGTCCCGAGGCATGGCTGGCCTGGATCAGCTGACACGGGCTAGTGCGGCTATATAACATTGCAGTTTGGGCTGAGGCCGGATCCCGGACTCCGAGACCCTGCCTGGGGTGGGTCTCCGAACCAGAGCTCCAGCCCAAGCCCAAACATCTACCCTGCAATGGTCAGCCCCGCAGCCCATGCCAGCTGACCTGGACTCTGAGGCTGGGTGCCGTGGGTTTTTTATTGCAGTGACATACGCTTGGTTTCCCTTCTTAAGATGGAGCTAATCTCCCTTTGTCTAGTTAGAGAGGAGCGGGCTTTGCTTGGCCAAAAGCTTGACAAGCGACGGTTCAAAGCACTGTCGGATGACTGGCCCATTCCCACGGACCATGCTGTAGAAATACTGGCCCACTACTGTTGACACGTTAGACAGGGACCCTCAGAAATACTGGGTCACGACTAGAAACAGCAAGGCCCATACTGAACTTTGGAAATACTCAAAGTGACTGCACAAATCCTGGGCTGTTCGTTTAGAAGCCATCCGGAGGGGTGTTAATATCCGGGAGAACACCTGCTGCTTGGCCATGCGTCTCTTGCTCCTTATAATAAACTCACACTGCTCCTTTATCAACAGAACTAACGCCTAAGCTAATAAAGGAGGTCTTTGTACTGAGCTGTGTATGCATCGGATTTATACGTGCTGCTAGGTAGACGGTACGTTTTTCTAACCCGGGATCTCTACTATAGGAGAGAGCCTGTAGTTTAGTCTGCCAGCAAACTTGTGTCAAAACTACAACCGCCTTGCCTTCGCTAGTTTCCATTGTTGTTTGCAGTATTCTTGTTGCCATATTGGTCCCAGGATATCAGAGAGAAGATACCTGAAGAAGAGTTCTGGGTAGCTCGAAAGCTTGTCTCTGTCGCCAACGGAAGTTGGCCCAATAAAAGATATTACCTCGCCCGCCTTGTCTGCGTTAGGATTTTAACGCTTGTTAAGAACACGCCTTTTTCCCCCTGCAGCAAAGACATGCTCATAAGGAAATATCTCTTGCTATTTGCACACACAGTCTCTAGCACAATTGGCTTCTGATCCTGGTTGAGGGCTCGAGCTGGTAGTAATCACTGCTTGTCAGAGCTATACAAACAATGTTGTCACTCATAAATCAATCTTTCCAGTCCCCTAACCATTTTCACTGCTCTCTGCTGAACTTTGTTCAATGTTCCCACACGCTGGCTTTCATCCTGGGCCACTGTGGGATATACGGAGTGGGGGGGAAGTAGTTCTATTTCATGGGGGATTTCAAAATCAGGTTTCACTCCTGTTTGGCATGAAAACAAAAACTTTCAAAAGTTGTCCATGAAAAGGAGAGGAGCCGGACCCCCAAGGCCGGACGCCTGGCCCGCTGCCCCAGGGAGCCCATTGGAACATCGGTGAAACCAAACTGCGTCCATGGAACCTTTCGACTTCACCGAATTGGCCATTCTGATGAAACATTGTTTGGTTGGAATTTTTTCGACCAGCTCTAATTTATACCCTGTGTGGATTGGTCATAAACTTAACCATAGACACAACCACTTTACGGCTCAGGACCTGGCTTGTGAAAGTCACAGAGAGACTTTCTGGTGACTTCAACAGGCTTTGGATCAGGTTCTGGTTGAGTAAGGCACGTGTTTTGAAATCTCCATTGTGCTCTATTAATTATAATGACAATTCAGTACTATCCTACTATTTCTTAGCTGTATTACGGTGGCATCCAGGAGCCTGTCATGGACCAGGACCCCACAGTGCAAGGTGCTGTATCAATCCAGAACATAGAGCTTCCAATCAAAGTACCATCTAATGCGTCATTTTTCACTGCAGACGCTTCCCTGCTCCAGTACTGAAAGTCCCGCCCAAAGTTAGAGGTCGCTGCACTGCTGAGGAGCGCTCTTTGGAACGAGCTTGATTGCAAAACACAGGCTCGGACCACTCATGGGGATGGAAAGTCCCGTGACTGTTGTCATGAACCAGGGTCATTAATCCTGATGTCCTGGTCAAATTTCTAAGGGCAGCCAGCGAAACCGCCAGGCCTGAAACAGATACGGATCAGACACTTACAGGAATAATGAACCCGCCCTCCCCACCCCCACTTTGCTTTAGCTAGGAGAGCAGCATGAAATAGACTGAAACGAACGCTGCAAAGCAAGTGACAGAGAAATTAGGTTTGCAGTGTTATAGCTGTGTCGGTCCCAGGACATTAGTGAGACAAGGTGGGTGAGATCATAGCTTTTATTGGACCAACGTCTACTGGGGAGAGAGACAAGCATTCGGGCTACACAGAGCTCTTCTGCAGGGCTGGGAAAGGGGCTTAGAGCTAGTCTACACTTCTGTTAGTCTTAAAGGTGCCACAGGACCCTCTGTTGTAGTCTACACTTGAAAGGCTACAGCGGCGTGGCTCTAAACACTATCTTCAGTGTAGACACTACCTATGCCAAAGGGAGTGGTTCTCCCATTGGCGTAGGTAATCCACCTCCCTGAGAAGCGGCAGCTAGGTTGACAGAAGAATTTCTTCCAGCTCTGTCTACATGGGGACTTAGGTCAGCTTACCTACGTCGGTTAGGGTGTGGATTTATGAACACAATTTTCAAGTGCAGACCAGGCCATTGTCTTTATTAAGGCCTGGTCTGCACTAGAAAATTAGCTCAGTGTAACGACGTTGCTCAGGAGCGTGAAAAAAAAATCCACACCGCCGAGTGGCGTAGTGAAGCCGACCTAACACCCAGTGTAGACAGTGCTAGGGAAATGGAAGAGTTCTTCCGTCGATCTAGCTACCGCCTCTTGGGGAGGTGGATTATCTACAGTGGCTCACTGCTGCTGTAGCATTTTAAGTGTAGACATGTACCTGATTTTTAGAGAAATTTGGGCCCCTTGGACCAGATCTCTAGCTGGTGTAAATCAACATAGCTCCAGTGACTTCAACAGAGAGTTGAGACTCAGCGGTTACTTCTGAAAACGTTGGCCTAATGGTTCTGCAATATTGCGTAGGGAGGCAGCGTTGCCTAGTGTACAGATCACTGGCCTGGGACTCAGGATACATGCGTTCAGTTCCTGGCTCTGCCAACTGACAGATGTGAACTGCTCACCCTGAGCCATGCCTGACTTTCCTCCCCAGTGTGACATGCCTCTGCCTGTTCAGTTGGATCAAGACTCCTGCAGCCACATCGGTCATTTTTATTTTGTCCCTCGCCAGGGGAAAGGGAGTTGTGACTGACAGTGCTCCAGGCACAAAACCAAAAGCTCACCGCGAACCCTGCCTCTTAGCAATCTTGGGAAGTTCCTGGCTTTCCAGGACTCCCCTTACCATGCGGCTCGGCACGTCACAGCCCACGATCCATGCCGCTGCCTGCGGTCATGGAACCCCTGCACAAGAGGAGGGGTAGGTGGGTGCAGGGCTGAGAACTGCCCTGCTCAGCGTTGGTGAAGGCAGGGCAACCGCACAGCTGGAGCGAGTCAGGCCAGCAGGGGCGGACGGACGTCCGACAGGTTCTCCCAGTTTCATCTGCCAACTCTTAACTCCACCCAGAGCTGAAAGAGAATTACTCATTCTCTCCCTCTTCCCCCCCAACACAGAGAGACATGTACTTCCTATCAGGCAAGAATGCAGCCTAGGGTACGTCTACGCTACCGCAGAGCTGAAGCTGTGCCGCTGTCGTGTGGCTGCTTCCTGCGTCCAGGGGAGGGGTTTAGATAATCCATCTCTCCGAGAGGCCGTGGCTAGATCGGTGGAAAAATGCTTCCGTCAACTTAGTTGCCGCTACAGCATGGGTTAAGGAGACCTGCGGGGCACAGAATCTTTCACAGCCCTGAGCGACGGAGCTAGGCCGACCTACGTCTTGGGTGTAGACCAGGCCTTAGATAGCTGGAGGTAGACAACTTTTTTTTTTTAAATCGGGCAGTGGCAAAGTCGTTGCATATTGCTTCCAGGAGTAGCTTGGTACCAGGGCTGAATTTGTCCACTTTTAATAAAGGGAGATAGACGAGCTTCTGGCCCAAGCTCGAGGTTTCTTTATTAATGCAAACCCCCATGTTTTTTGGAGGAGGGTAAAGTCCTTCACACCCACAGTTGTCTACACCCACATCTGGGCCGGGTTACCATAGCATCTGAGCTCCTCATAATCGGTAGTGTATTTGTCCTCACACCATCCCTGGGAGGCAGGGCAGGCCTGCTATCCCCATCATACAGATGAGAAACTGAGGCAGGGAGAGACTTGCCCCCAGGAAACCTCTGACAGATCAGGGGATTGAAATCAGTCTCCCAACTCTCAGCCTAGCTCTGGGATCACTCACAGCCTTCCTTACAGGTTCTTCTGTGCCATCCGAGGTAGGATTCGAACCCATGACCATTTACACACACAGGAGGACACTTTCCACCACGCCACTGAGCTATGAGCCCTGGAGTTGCCGGGTATGTCCACACTACAAGCAAAAACACCCCCCAAACCCAACCCCCGCCCCAAACCCCTACAGCAGGGAGGTTCAAAGCCCCGTCAACTGACTCCGGCTCGCGAGGCTCACGTGACGTTGTAAAATGAGCCGTGTAGATGTTCGAGCTCAGACTGGAGCCTGCGTGGGTCTTTTTTTGCAGGGTAGCTGCCCCCTCATTCTCCACTGCCCTGGACCTTGTGCCCGCGGGCGTCGTATTTACCTTAAGGCCTCTTTATTCTACTCGGGCAGCGCAAAGGGGGGCCAAGTACCTGTAAGTACGCTGCCGGTGTGGGGTAAAGGGGCCCTGGTGTAAATCAGCATCGAGCCCCTAGGCTTGTTATTGGCACTGGTACGAAATAAGTGTAAAACGCTACAAAATCATAACGAATCCTACCAGGCTCTTAGATAGCGTTGGTCATTGGTAGATCTCCCAAGCGTTTCGTCGTCTTTCATGTATTTATCCTCCCAGCGGTAGATGCAGAGTGTCCTTTATACCATGGGCCTCTTACGCCGCTCTGGCAAGGGAAGCAGGATCTTAACGGGAGTGTAGTGAATCGACTTCCTCTTTAAGCCCTGCCAGAGCAGCGTCAAGGGTCTTGGAGTAAATGAGCATCGGGCAGGTGCCGTTTCACGCCCATCTCACACCAGAGTAAAGGACTCCCCCAGGGTGCAGGGAAAAGCAGGACCAGGCCCTGGCTTTGTTCCTGCATCACGAGCCTAATGCTTGTGCAGCTGCAGAGTCTATCTTTAGTTTAAAGCAACAGAGGGTCCTGTGGCACCTTTAAGACGAACAGAAGTATATTTAGTTTAGTCACTTTCAGCGCAGAGCACACGAAATCCTGTACCTGTGACTGTCGCAAACGTCGAGTGTGAGCTCCGTGCGCTGGCAGCAGCGAGGCGACGAGACGGAGGGGCAGGCGCTGCCCTGGCGTTAATCGGCGGAGTCCCATTGACTGCAGTGGCGCGACCCCGGTTTACACCCGCTGAGGATCTTGGCACTCAGTGGGCTGTTTTAACGCCTGTGGAACGAGGGGGCGGTGAAGAACCTGGCAGATCTCTGTGCCTGGGGGTGGCGAAGGGGGAAGAGTTTCAGAGAACGCAGCGGACCCTGTACTCGCATAGCTCTCTGGTTCGCTGCTGTTCCCGCGATAGACCCCATTTCCACTGCCCCCCACCCCCAACCCTCCCAGGGCATGTAAGTTACACTCATTTCTACACCTTCCCAGTGCCCATGGCTTGATTCTCATTTACACATAGGCCCCTTGATGCCGCTCTAGCCTAGTAAAAGGGGCTTTCACGCTGCCAGATCCGTGCAACGGGACCTTCAGAGTGGGACTGAGAATCAGGCCCATAGTGCGTTGCACATGCTTTGCATTGGTGCGAATGAAAACAGGAGGTGCTGGACAAGGGAGAATAAGACCTTTTTACTCCCAGCTACATTTGGCTCGCTGGTTTCAGAGCGAGTCCACAAGTGGATTTACACTGATCTAAACTCCACTGGAGTCAGGGGAGTCACTCTGGATTTACAACACGTTTAACTGGACAAACAGCCCACTTCAAGGGACTAGGAGTAATGAGAACTTGGTTCCCTTCGCAGCTCTGCCACTAACTTGCTGTATGACCTTTGGTAAACCTCTTCCCCCCCGCCTCAGTTTCCTTGTATGTTAAATGAAGATAATAGAAACAGTGTTGCGAACCCCATAGGGGTTAAAAAAATCATGGCTCAGGCACCCAAAGAAATCATGAAATTGGCTTAAAAGCATGAGATTAAAAAACAAAACAAAACTCTGGGTTCTTCCCATCTTCTGTCTGGTTTCTGAGCCTTCAAGGTGCACTTGATTCACTTGCTTTTCTCTGCAGACACGAGGGCTAGAAGCAGTTTTGAATTCTCCCCCCACCACTTGACTCCCAGAGCTGGGGCTTTACCGAGAACAGTGGAGATCACGAGACTAGTGATAAAATCACGAGAACTAGCAAGGGTCTGTAACCACTCCCCACTTTTGTAAAGGGAGATCTAGGCAGGAAAGGTGCTATCCAATGGCTAAGAATTATTGTCCATGTTCCCACAGTAACACAGCGTAAGGTTTTGGGTGGAAATGTCGCTCTTACAAGTGCAACGCTGTTCATTATGCTTCTAACCAGGACTTAGGTGTTTGTAGCCCGAGGAATTCCAAAGCGCTTTACAAAACAGGGATCACCTATCCCCCACTGAAATGCAGCCACCTCTGGAGTGGAGCCCTGCACTTCTGATTCTTCACTTCTGAAAAGTGAGGAGGTGGGAGGTGCAGGGGAGTGGCTCCAGTTGGAATTTGTCCAGGAGACGCCCCAGAGCTCTTGCGAAAGGTGTCATGGGCTCTGTAAGGTCAGGACCTCACTTTTTACATCCCGCCCGAACGGCGGTAGAACAAAGCGGTGAGGTACGCTGCCCCAGTGTTTGCGCAGCAGCCACTCAGTAAGGTCACTGTTCCATGGGCCAGCCCCAGAGAAAGGGGCCACGGGGCACGTCCGTGCTCGGGGAATTCTCAAGGTCACTTGGCCGCTCTCATCCCGGGTGATGGCTTCCTAGATCCGGCTGGGGGCTGCTCTCTGTTCTGATGAGAGCAGAGGGGAAAGAAACGATCCTGGGAAACGCTCAGTGCGTTTGTGCCGAGAGGATGATCTTAGCACTGCCGTCTATCTCTATCCTCTGGGGTGGATCCTCCGGCTCTCCTTCCTGACAGGAAGTTCAAAAACATTTTGAAGTTCAAAGGCAGTTTCAAATTCAGATTAAAAAAAAAAAAAAAGGGGGGCAGGAAAAGAGGGGTGTGGGGGGGGGGGGGGGGGGGGGGGGGGGGGTTGGGGTGTGTGTGGGTGTGTGTGTGGGGGGGGCGGGGGGGGGCGGGGAATAAATATTTCAGAAAATGTGTTGACAAGTTCCCCCTCCCCCACTTGTGATGCTTTCCCCAGGTTTCCAGGATGTCCACACCATGATCTTCATCGGCTTTGGCTTCTTGATGACCTTCCTGAAACGTTACGGGTTTGGCAGCGTAGCCTTCAACTTCCTGATCGCGGCGTTCGCTATCCAGTGGTCTACGTTGATCCAAGGCTTTTTCCACTCTTTTCACGATGGCAAGATTCACATCGGAATAGAGAGGTGAGTGGCTGGAAGCCAGGTGTCAGAGAGGAAGGATGTCAGGTGGCTCATTCCCAGACTCTTTGCGTGACGGTGGGTAAGTCTCTGTGCTTCAGCTCCCCGTTGGTCAAACTGGAAGAAGAGCCCTGCTCCGGCTCCCAGGGGTTGCAAGGATAAAGGTTCCGAGGCGCTCGGATAGATGGTAACAGGGCGTGAAGTCACACATACAGCTTTCCTTTCGGGTCCAGCTCTAAGCCAGGGAGCCGCACAGATGTTCGCGTCAGACACGCTTGTGATCAGAACACCACGGTGTTGCCTCAGCCTGATTTGCTCGTTTATCCAGCAGTCAAAAGCGGATTTGGCAGTGGGCATGGGAGGGCCGAGGCTGAAATCCCGTGTCTGCTGCCGACTCCCCGTGTGACCTTGTCTCCCTGGGCCTCGGCTCCCTATCTGTCCCGTAGGGATAACAAGAGCTCATTTGTCTCGCCTTCGGGGCAGAGGGCGTCTCTCCTGGTGTGTATGGACAGTACCTAGCACAATGCACTCTGATCTCAGTTGAGGCTACTGTAATACACGGAATAATAGAAGGGCTTTTTTCACTCATTAGCTTGAGACTAGATAGGACCAATAGATCATCTGGCCTCCTGCAGACCACAACACCGGCGGGATAATTTCACAGACGCGAAACCCTCCAGCCAAGTTCTTAGCCCTTCCGCCCACTCGTTAGATGAGCCTAGCGTTTCTGTTCCAAAGGCTCCAATCACACCCGCTAACCGATTCTGCCGTTCTGTCTCTGGATGGCTTTTTTCTTGGGGACCCCTTGTGAATTTCCCAGACTGTCGAGTGCACAATCTTCTCCGTTACCCATTAAACTACCTGGAGGCTGAAATTCACCCCGGTGCCAGGGTCCCTGCACCATTTAAAGCTAGAGGAAACTGGTCTTGTGTTGGCACTCTGCCCGGGGTAACAGTCTCCTGCAACCTGTTCTACTTTCTTCACTATTCCTGCTAGCATGATCAATGCCGATTTCTGCTCCGGAGCCGTCCTGATCTCCTTCGGAGCAGTGCTGGGCAAGACAAGCCCCGTCCAGCTGCTGTTGATGGCCTTGTTTGAAGTCACACTCTTTGGTATTAATGAATTCGTCCTGCTCAGCGTCATTGGGGTAAGTCACACTTTTCATGGCGCGTCCGTTCCCCGGAGGAAGGACTGTTCTAAGCTGGGTGACAACGTGGGCTTCGAGCCGAGCAAATACCTGACTTGTCGGTTCGGTGGCTAAATAAAATTTTAAAAAATTGTTTGGGGTCAAACGAAACATTTAGTTTGATCCAAAACTTAATTATTTTCATTTAGTTTTTTGGGTGTTTTTTATCCCGCACCTTTAAAAAAAAATTGAACTAGGTTTTTAATTAAAAAAAAATTCTAGGAACCTTCCAAATGAAAAATAGTTTTCAAGTCAAATGTTTAGATTTCTAACGATTTTTTAGGGCTCCCTCCCTTCCCCCGCTCAACAAAGCATTTGGCAAAACCGACGTGAATTCGCGAAACATTTCGATGTGGTCGAATCCGCATTTCTTTGCTGAGCGCGTCTGGGCTGAAAACACGCTGCCCAGCGGGGGTACAGCCCGGATTACCTCCCGCCCCCTTTTCAGCCCATCCTTTGCTTCCTGTCCCGACCAGGCAAAGGATGCGGGGGGCTCCATGACCATCCACACCTTCGGGGCTTATTTCGGATTGATGGTTTCGCGGGTCTTGTATCGGCCCCAGCTGGACAAGAGCAGACAGAGGGAAGGCTCCGTGTACCACTCAGATCTCTTTGCTATGATCGGTAAGGACTCGGAACACGCCCTGCTTCGCTCGAGCCCCGCATGGGGCCAAAGTAACATCTGATGCATCAGAAAACTATGTCTGTGGTATTTTCAGGGGGCTTTATCTTGAGACCCCCTTGCTCAGATGATCCCAAATTTGGACCCGTAACCCTGTCCCAGTGGGACATTACCCAGGGTACCATCTGGACTATTGAACAGCTGCTGGGACCAATCCCCGCTTAGTTCCGTTCTTTCAGAGTTGATGTCATGAGCAGTGGAGGCCTCTGTCTCTCTCTGATACCAACCTCCCCTCTCTGAGGATTACCCCCGACTGGGGTGCAGGTGACAAGTAGTCTCTTGGCGACGTGAGGGTTGAACTATCTCTCTCGTGACATGTAAATTTCTTGTTTACACCTTCATGTTGCTGAAGAATGGCTGCTCAAGCCAGTGACAGCTCTTTAACACCTGGCTGCGGGCGCTAATGCGTCTTTGAAGAACTGGTTTGGACCTGCCTTTTTAGCTCTGGAACATGTTACAGCAATGTTATACAGTAGAAACTTATAACTTTCCATACAATGTTGATACATATAGTTTACCAGGACAATAATGTTCAGCAGGATATGGGTTTTCAAATGATCTCTCAGAAGGCATGCTTTGTACAAAATGTATCAGAATCTTGTAAAAGTGGTGACCATAACACTATAGACCATCACTCCCAGACAACGCACATCAAGTTTCAAAACAATCCAGGCAAGCATGTGTATTTTAGGGCACTTAGGAAAGTCCTTTGTTAAACAGTAAACTACTGTCTCAATAAACAGCTGGGTAAATAGCTGATTTGCCTGCTCAGCAGCAGTTTCAGGGAGGGGAGGGGGGAGTTTGCATCAAACCAAACCTGAAAATCCAATTAGAAACATCAAATTCGGAGTCGATTCTAGAGTGAGGATTAGAACCCAACATTTTCCCCTCTGAATTTTCCATTAATTATTCTCTTTTTTTTTCGGGGGGGGGGGGGGGGAGGCTTTTTGTTGAAAAATCAGAAACTGCAAAGTTTTGGTAAAAGTGTTTTGGGTTTTGATTTAACCGAAATCCAGCACTTAGTCTTTCATTTTCTGTTTTTTTTCAATGGGAAAACAGGAAAATTTCAACCCAGAAGAAAAACGTGAATGACCATGTTCATTATGGTCAAAGACCCGTTTTCCATCGAAACCAGCTGTTTTGACGCCAAGCGGCGTTTGATCAAAGCGAAAACGTTCACAGAACATTCTCCCTCAGCGCTGTGGGCGATTCCCTACCTCCCAAACCTGCACTCAACTCCCGATTCCTTCCCCTGCAGGAACAATCTATCTATGGCTCTTCTGGCCAAGTTTCAACTCTGCCATTACGGCTCATGGCGACGACCAGCAGCGGACCGTCATGAACACCTACTTCTCCCTGGCCGCTAGCACGCTGGCCACCTTTGCCACCTCAGCCCTCGTCAATGGCGAAGGCAAACTGGACATGGTGAGTCAACACAGCGGCTGCTCTGTCTTGTTGCTGGTGACCCCCAAGCATGGGCGGTGGGTGAACCCCCGCTTCAGGGAGGCTAGCCCCCAGCCCCACCCCTTCCTCCCAAGGGCACACCTGAGCCCCAAGGCCACCACCCCCATGGCTGGCCTGATCCCCGGGCCACTGGCCCGAGCCACCAGTGGCCGTCGGCTGGACCTGAGCCCCTGCCGGCTTCAGGGGAGAGGGGCACCGAGGGAGAGGCCTCAGGGCGGAGCCTGGGTGAGGCCATGGCCTGGGTTAGGGGAGTCTTAGCCTCCCTTGGCCTTTGACACCTTTCACCCATGCCCCCAAGTCTCCTGCCAGCCGCATTCCCCCCTTCCAACGAGAACCTCGGTCTTTTGGCCGTGTGGACTCCGCTACGCACCCCCGAGACTCTGCAGGAGAGGAGTCCTGAGCCTGGCGACCTGCAGAGATGCACAAGAGTGGGGATCCCTTTGTGCAGACCTGCCTCGCCGGGATCATCCTTCCCAAGACGGTGGACGGGAACGGTGGTGAGCAGGTGGGATTCTGGGTGTCACAGTTCAGGACGCCTGTATTTCCCCCCATCATGGTCCACCAAGCGCTCCCAGTCTAGGCTCCCGGCTCCCCAGCCCTCACATCTCTTGACTGAGAGTTTTCCAGGCTGCACTGTGGTATTCCCAGCAAGCCAGTCGAGCTGCACAAGCAGCCTCTGGAGAGAAAGCAATGAGCAGCGTAATTGCTCACGGTTATGTTACCACCCAGCAAGCGTATTTGTTCTTACGGGAGCAGCATTCCAGGGAAAACCTATTTAAAACAATACAAGAACTTCCCCGCATGCTGAAAGGCTCACAAGAGGCCACCTGAACTCCAGCCTTGGGCTCTGGGAGGTGTCAGTCCTTCAAAACCCCCAATCAGGTTTTCCCCGTGGTTACACGTTCACACTTGTCTAGGTTCACAGCCGCCATGAACAGTTCAGCCTCTCCTTTATACAGCTTGGGCCTTTCATCTTGGCCTCATGTACCAGGCGGTCAGCAGGTAGTGATGCGATCTTCGGGGCGTAGCTTCAAAAGGCTGGGTTTTGGTGTAACCGGCGTGGAGAATTTGCATTCATCTCACCCTAGCTATTCCCCAGTTTCTGTTCTAAAAGTCCATTCTTGTCTGGCACATTGGTCATTATAGTCATTTCAAGCCCCATTGAAATGTCACATCTCCCCCTCTCCCCCATTGAGAGGTTACATATCATCTCAGCCCACAATAACACATAAGCCATTCATTTAATACAAGGGAGCCCAAAGAGACTCAAACTTAATTCAATAAGGTCTCCCAAGGATATTGCCAGAGGCAGCAAGGAAGGATGGTCCAGTATTTAGGACATTAGCCCTATGGCTTGGGAGATCTGGGTTCTATTCCCTCCTCTGCTACAGACTCTCTCTGCGACCTTTGGCAAGTCACTCAGTCTCTGTGCCTCGGTTTCCCTATCTGTACAATGGGGTAATAGCACTGCCCTACCTCACAAGGAGATTGTGAAGATCACCTCTCAATCTTTAGTGTCTCTGGTACTGTAGTGATGGACTCATATAAATACCATTGGTAGATAATATGGTGACAGTTCCTCGCCCTCTGGGCCTTCTAAGATCTGTGTGACCAGGCTTCTCCTTTCGAGGGGCTGCCGTTTTGAACCACGCCATCCAGACACAACTTTGAAATTCTTCCCAACTTTCTCACCACCTCTCCTTCCAGCCTTCACTGCACCTGACCAGCGGCGGGTGCGGGAGTCTGCACTGAGCTCCTCCCCCCCGTGCTCTCTCTCTCCAGGTCCATATTCAGAACGCAGCCTTAGCCGGCGGGGTCGTGGTCGGGACATCAGGCGAGATGATGCTGACTCCGTTCGGTGCCATGATCGCCGGGTTTCTCGCTGGGCTCGTTTCTACCCTGGGCTTCAAATTCCTCACAGTAAGTCCCATCGGCGACGTCTACGCAGCACGCCTCTTGCGGGGTGCAGCTTCACCTGCCAGGGAACGGCTCTGGCGGGAGGAAGCGACGGGCTGTGTAGACAGGGAAAGCCCTGCTTGGGCACGTAGAAAGGTGTCTAGGGTCCATACCCACAGAGGCCAGGTGTGTCTTTACTTGCCTGAATGGTGCCTCGCAGCCTACCTTGCTAGTTATACCCATGCTGGGGGCACGTGCATGTACTCTACCCACGGCGGACAGGAGCATGCCGGGTAGACGTACCTTTCATGTGGGGCCTGGTCCTCATTGGCATTAAGGCCCCTTTTCTCCAGAACGCCAGCCAGGGCCCTCAAAGGGGCTGGAGCAGCATAAACAGGCCCTAAAACCCCAGCTGGGGCCAGGGGAGGTTTCCTCCAGCGCAGGGATGGTGGAAGACAGACACTCCGCTGCCTCCGGCTCGCTACCTCCAGCGTAGGGTGTGCCGTGGGGGCCGGGCCTCCGTAACCGCACTGGAGCTGGGGAGGGGACGGACCTGGCCTGCTGGAGCTTAAACCATGTCTGTACGACACACCATGGGCGGTGGCACGTAGGGTACGTGTGGCTACGTGCCGCAGCGAAAAACAAGCTCTATCCACACTGCAACGTGGAGGGGGCAGTGAACGGCTCTGGCAGGGGGGAAGACAGCGGGGACAGGCTCCTCCGGCAGCGGGGACGTTACACTGCACCTTGTGCATGCAGAGAACTGTGTAGGGTTTGTACTGGAAACATACCCACAGGGTTCAGGCGCGTCTTTCGTCTGCCTGCCTAAGCTCTGCCTTACCGTCTACACTGCGCTTTGTACCCGGGCAAGGGGGAGGGAGGAAGCCATCTCTGGACTCTCCACCCTGCTGTAAGAAGCATCCCGCATAGACATGCCTTTGGACAGGCCCCCAGGGATGTCTTTCCAGCCCCCGGGGGGGCAGTCCAGGAAGGTTGCTTAAAGCCCTCCCACCCCCCGCACTGCGCCTCTTAGACGCACACCGCAGAACCCGTGCCCTGAACGCACCTCTAGCCCTTCATGTCCTCACCACCCCTCCGTGCTCTCCGCAGCCCATCCTGGACTCCAGACTAAAAATACAGGACACATGCGGGGTCCACAACCTCCACGGGATGCCGGGCGTCCTGGGTGCTCTCCTGGGAGCTCTGGTGGCAGCCCTGGCAACGCAAGACGTCTACGGGGACGGGTGAGCACCGCTCGGCGCGCCAGTCTCACTCACGTGTGTGTGTGTGTGTGGGGAGGGGGGAGAGAGAGTCCAACCCTCCCCTCCAATGGGTTTCTTGATTTTGATCATAAATTGCACCCCACCCAGTGCCAGGGATGGAGTGGGCACAAGGTGACATCTAGGCAGCTCTATGCAAGCCAGGCATTGATCACGCACGGTTCATTAACACACCAGCCTGTCCTCTGCACACTAACTCGATACTGCCACCGAGAGGCCAAGAATCACTGCTCGGCTATTCCCTGGGAGACAGCATTTCTATAGCAGCCGTTCTCCATCTTTTCAGTACCCAGAACCCCTTCCTGGGTACCCGCACCAGAAGGTCAGCGTGCGTTATGGAAAGGGCAGAGCACTTGCTATCCTCTCCCCCCAACACCTGTTCACAACCCTGCTCGGGGCGGGGGGAACCCACACATCTAAGACTCAGCCTTTACAGCAAGACTTAGCAACATGCGACTCTTTTTGAATATTGTCGATGGATAACACAGAGGTTTATTTTAAAGCATTTTTTTTCCAGTTATCTATTTACATGTTCACAGTTGTGGGGAAGTTATGGGGGGTGGGCAGACCACAGAGGCCGTCAGACAGTCATTAGGTAACGAGAGTAGACGCTGAGATGCAGGAAGTTAAAGCTTTATAACTCGAAGGCGCAAAGAGTCAGCGTCACGTGGCAAAACATACAAGTCAATATCCTGAAATCAAGTTCTTAAGCCGCGTTCTTCTTACTTTGCCTAGCTGTGAATTTCAATCATCATAGATGGAAATACACTTTTCGGCTGTGTGCGTACGGTGAAATCGACGTTCACCAATATTGACAGATAAAAATCGAATCCTTTCAAGCCTATCGATAGCGCCTTCCAACCCCCGGCACTTTACTAACACTAGCTCTGCCTCGTAACGCAACCCCTGGGAGAAGGACATTATTGCATTCATAATGACGGGGAAACCGGAGCATGGAGAGATGAAGGGACTTGCTGCTCAGTGGCAGGACCGGGAATAAAGCCGATTTCACGAGCTCCCGTCACTCACTCCCTAGGGATGAGTGAACTGTTTCGGGCTTGAACCTCTCCTCTGTGCTCACAACCTGACATCACAAATCTGTTGGGAGGTTCGTTTGAGAAAAGGTCTGGCTCGCATCCCCAGTACTTTCCATCTACCTGTTCCTCTGTCATCTACTGGGACTAACAAGGGCAAGATGACGTGATTGGAGCCTCTGCACTTTTTGATCTATGACTATTTAAGGGCCTCGGGGGCTAATGCTTTCCCTGCACCAGTCTGGAGCTGTGGAGTTGCTTCTGTAAGGCCTGCTTCTTCTCTGGCACCCCACTGCCATGGACAGTAAGCTCCCCCTCCAGCAGGGCCGGCTCCAGGCACCAGCTGAACAAGCAGGTGCTTGGGGCGGCCAAGGGAGAGGGGCGGCACCTGAGGCAATTCGGGGGCGGCAGGTCCCTCACTCCCTCTAGGAGCAAAGGACCTGCCGCTGTACTGCCCCGCCGATCGCGGCTTTTTTTTTTTTTTGCTTGGGGCGGCAGAAATGCTGGAGCCGGCCCTGCCCTCCAGCAATAGATGTGTCTGATCCACCCCCCAAAAGCCCGTCAGGGGACAAGCAGTGAGTCCCAGCAGAGGTGAGCTGCAGCGGTCGAGGACTGTCCACAGCTCCCCAAATCTTCCACGCCCCTAGCACTGCACCCTTTCCGCTGCCTCTGAACCCTTCTGTATCTAGGCAATCCTCCATGGTTACATCTCTATGGCTTCATTAGTTCCACAGCAGCAAAACATCAGTCCTTGGAGCCTCACTGAGCCCCCACAACTTGGCTCTGATGCTGGCCCATCGGCAGGGTTTGAACAGGTGACCTTCAGCACTAGGAGTAGACGGGCTACAGCTCAAGCTAATGGAGTAGTTCCATTGACTTCCAGCAGTAGTAGATTCTTATTCTCTTAAATGACTCAGGCACGCGTTGGGGACAAGGCCCCACCTCGGTCAGCATGAGTTACAGGAGCTCCCAACACATACCTGGCTCTTGCCGGTCTTGCAGGATGGCCGATGTGTTCCCTTTAATCGCTGACGGAAGCCGGACGGCAACGTACCAGGGAACCTGCCAGTTCTTTGCATTACTCATCACGCTGGGGTTCGCTGTTGTCGGAGGAAGCCTCGTGGGTGAGCTTTGTGTCTGTTGATGGGGCATGATTTCACAGGCAGAGGGGCAGACTTTTATTTTTCCCTGGCAATGCTCCACCCTGCTTCGCTCAAGGCCCCGCCCCCACTCTGCCCCCTCTCCTGAGACCCTGCTCTCCCCAAACCCCTTCCCCAGCTGCCAAACAGCTGATCAGCGATGCCCCGCCAAACAGCTGTGGCCTGTGGGTGCTGAGCACTCAGTATTTTTTTCTGTGGGTGCTCCAGCCCCAGAGCACCCACAGAATTGGCCCCTATGACTACAGGAACATCCCATGGTAATGTTACTACAGGGCTTCGGGACCACGGATGCAGCATTTTTGGTTTGATTCAATAGCAATTATTGATAGTGCGGTAGCACAGGTCTCGGCAGAGATCAGGGTCCCGTTGGGCTAGGCACCACACATAGGTATAACAACCGATGGCCTTTGACCTGAAGACTTTACAGTCTAAACAGACAAGACAGAATCATTATCCCCACTTTGCAGATGAGAGAACCAAATGAGACCCAGATCCTCAAAGAGATTTAGGTTCCTAACTCCCTTTCAGGATTTGGGCCTAAAGTGACTTGACTGAGGTCACACATGGAGTCTGTGGCAGAGGCAAGAACGGAACCCAGGTCTCCGGAGTCTCAGTCCAGTACTTTCCTATTATTAATTATTTGTGTTGTGGTAGCATTTCAGAGTTCCAGTCACGGACAGACCCTCGGGGGCGCTAGGCACTGTACAGACACAGAACATAAAGGAACTTATAATCCTCTCTTAAGTAATGTCTACACTACGAAATTAGGTCTCACGTCTTCACTACCCGGGTAGCAATCGATTTATCCGGGATCGATATATCGCGTCTCGTTAAGACGCGATATATCGATCCCCGAACGCGCTCACCGTCGACTCCGGAACTCCACCAGAGCGAGCGGCGGTAGCGCAGTCGACGGGGGAGCCGCGGCCGGCGATCCCGCGCCGTCTGGACCCCAGGTAATTCGATCCAAGATACTTCGACTTCAGCTACGCTATTCACATAGCTGAAGTTGCGTATCTTGGATCGATCCCCCCCCCCCGCAGTGTAGACCAGCCCTATAAGTCTCTATTAAATACGATAACCACTGAGTGCCAAACCTCTGTCCAGCCACTAGAGGACAGCATAAACCAAGGCGTCGGGAAATCAACGTCTGTTCCAGCTCTTTACGTTTTTCAGAGTTGGGTAGTTGAAGTTAGACATCCAAAATACAAGCGACAAAATAAGTGGGCCTGATTTTCAGAGGTGCTGGGCCCTGACTGCTCCCCCGGAATACAAGAGGAGCTGCGGGTCATCAGCACCTCTGAAACGTGAACGCAGAATGGGACAAACTTTTCCCCTCACCCCTCCTTTTATGTTCCCAGGAGCTACCTTGAAAATCAGGTCGTTGGGGTCCCCTCCAGACACACAGTGCTTCGAGGATCAGATCTACTGGGAGGTAAATCCTTGATTTCGTTTTCTTTCGCCAAGGTGCCCCGAGCAACAGAAGCTGTTCCCTGGGGGTCGTTTGAAGAGCTGAAGCAGACTGGGCACCACATATGATTTATTTCACCCTAGCACTTGGCGGCTTCTACCAGGATCGGGGCCCCGCGTACACATGGCGAGACCCAGGCCCTGCCCGGATGAGCTTTACCACCTCACTAGGCAAAAAATGATCCGCTTCATTTTACAGATGTGGGCCGAGGGGAAAAAGGCCCGGTTTTCCCAAAACGCTCAGCAGCGGCCTTTGCTTTGTAGAGTCGTCAATGGGAGCGCTTGAAAATGTAGCCCCGGGTGATTTGCCCAGAGTCACGGGGAAAATCTGGAGCAGAACTGGGAATTGAGTCCCAGGCCAGAGACTGTGACAGCGATGGTGGCTGGGAGCCAGAAACCGTTCAGTGGGTCCCCTCCCGGGACCATAGGGGGCTGGGGATAGGTGCCTTTGCCCTGAAACTGTCACCGACAGCCTAACACTCACCTACTACACGCTCTCAGCTGGTGCCACTTGCTGTATTATAGTCCCCATCAATACCTGGGCTCATGGCTCACAGTCAGTGTCTCTCTGATTATCCCCAATTGGTCTGAGCAGGGAAATACCCAGTGTCACCCTGTGTCTCTGGTTTCCTCCAGGTCCCTGAGGATCATCAGGGCGGATACTTGACGGCTGTGAACTCCGAGGACCCCGAAAGGAGTGCAAGCGTCTAATGGGATTTCCTTCTGCGTCGGCACACCTCAGCCTGCTAGCCACGTGGTTCAAGCCATCCAGTATAGGGGGAGATTTCCCAAGCATCTGCCGACCGCAAGGGGTCTTAGTGTGGACTTAGTCTGAAAGAGCCTCATTTAGCCTGAGTTGTGGACAGAGGCTTAGCAGCTTGTGATGGGAAGCCAGGCCACGGTCTCCACCCCATCCCACCTCCTCTTGCAAGGATCCACTTGGTGCATTACAGCGACATTCCCATGCGGGTTCTGCCCGCGACAGGACTGTCCCTGCCCATCTGCCCCATGCCTGGAATACGAAGCGAATGGAAGCCAGGATCAACATTCCCATTGGGGCTAACGCCCTCTTCACCCCCATTCAGTCTCACTCGCTGTCCAGGCTCCTTTCGAGAGAAGACGACGCGTGGCAGTTTAGAGGCTAGACGGAGAGATCTAGGTTCAGTTCCCAGCTCGGTCAGACACCCGGTGTGAGATCAGGCCAGTCCTTTAGGCCCGGTGTACACACCGGCTTC